TACGATACATTAAAGTCTAATAGAACCGTTAAAGCCCAATACGATCCATTAAAGCACAACTAACATTCATTAAAGTCCAATAGAACCGTTAAAGACCAATACGATCTATTAAAACACAAATAACATTCGTTAAAGCCCAATAGATACGTTAAAGCCCAATACAATCCCTTAAATCCCAACTAACATCCGTTAAAGCCCAATACGATCCATCAAATCACAACTAACATCCATTAAAGCTCAATATAACCGTTAAAACACAATACGATTCATTAAAGCCCAACTAACACTCATTAAAGCCCAATAGAACCGTTAAAGCCCATTAACATCTATTAAAGTCCAATACGATCCATTATTTAAAGAAAAGTTTGAAAAATGAGAAAAAAAAATCCGCCGGAAAAGTAAAAATGATTTTTTTTCAAATAATTTTCCACAGGAAATTTAAAAAATATTTAAATATCAGCCGGAAAAAATATTTAAATATCAGCCGGAAATTTTTAATTCTTTTTTTAAGAAAATATTTAATTATCCGCCGGAAATGGTTAAATTTTTTTTAAAAAAATATTTAAATATCCGCCGGAAATTGTTAATTCTTTTTTTTTTAGAAAATATTTATTTATCCGCTTGAAATGATTAAAAAAATTTAAAATATTTAATTATCCGCCGAAAATTGTTAAATTCTTTTTAAAAAAATATTTAATTATCCGCCGGAAATTGTTAATTATTTTTTTTTTAACATTTAATTATCCAATCCTACGGTAAAATGTTGTAATTAGATGTAAATTCAAGATTAAACTAAGTACTTATGAAATCCGCCGGTAATACATGGGTGTCAACAAAAAGTTAACTTTTTTGGTGTCCTACGGAAATCCGCAGGTAAATTACCGGCGAATTCCGTCCGCCAGAAATTGCGCCGGAAATGGCCAGTTTTCTAGTAGTGAAWTGCCTTAAAATTGAAAATAAGAAGAAAGATAAGGGGTTGTTTGTTTACCTCTTAATAGTTCCATTAAGAGGCAACATCTGAATCGTTAAGAGGTAAATCTTGTTTGGCAAAAAAAAAGTATGCCTCTTAATGGTTTCAAAACCATCTGAATGATTTTGTATCTTGGATCTCTCTTAACCATTAAGAGCCCTAATTTCATTATACACAATTATCAAACAATTATATTTCATTTTGCACTATATCATGAGAACTTCTTAATCATTCTAACCACTTAATCATTTTGCACCAAACCATTTAACAATTGCCAAACAGCCCCTGATCTACCAAGCAGTAGATGAATATGTATTTGAAAGGATCTCCTCTTCAGAATCCTCTAAGGAAGCCCGAGATATGTTATACAAATCTTACAGAGGGAAAGAAAAAGTGCAAATAGTGAGACTTCAAACTCTAAGATGTGAGTTTGACAACTTGCAAATGAAAGAAACAGAAACCATAGAAGAATATTATACCAGGGTGATCATCCTATTAAAAACCGTCAACCCACGAAACYCGTTCAACCCAACCTGCTAACAACCCAATTAAACCCAAACCATCTATATAGTTTTTGTTATCTAAGATGACTCTTTATGCTCCTTGCAGCCTTGAGCATTTGAACGATAACGAAACCTATATAGATGGCTTATCATCTTCGATAATTATATTAGGGATGTTGCCGGAAGAAAGCCATATTGTGGTCCTAATTCTTGATCATGTATTCATCGACTCGAGTGGCTGATCTTGCTGCTTAGGTTCATCTATTAAACATCACTAGTTGTGTACCCGCGCAATGCGGCGGGAGCCATGAATTTTAACGATTTTGAAGTTCCACTGGTTTTATAAGATAATATTTAACGATGATATATGTTACACTTGGTCTTTGCATATTAATACGATTTGAATAAATAAGAGTTATGGTTCCAAAAAAACCCAAGAACATATTAATTCAAAACATATTATACAATGCAATTTGGACAGCCTAACCCCAAAATATATAGTATATATATAAATAAATAACTATAAAAGTATAAATCGTAAATATTTAAAATATTTTTTCAC